AAGTGTAAGTACATTGCTTTAGGAAAAATGTTTTTTTTTTTCTCTTTTCCCCCTTGGTTTTCCTTCTCAAGTCATATTTTAGAGGGCCAAATGGGTGAAGGAGCCAGATTTGGCAGCCAACCACACAAGCACATTTTCAAAACATGTTTGATTCAGGAAATTCTGGATCTTTTTAAGCAAAGATGTTAACAATCCTCCTGAGAACCTTAAAATATGATGATTTAAACATAAGGAAAAGGGGACCCTAAAATGATCAGAGAAATCACCCAGAGGCTCCCTGCTGAAGTGTTCAGTTTTTCATTTTGTTTCCTATTTCTTTCTTTTTTTTTAAAGACAACAGGAGGATGTTGAATTTATCACCTAAGGGAGGTGCTATCATTTTGGGTCAAAATTTATGAGATGATACAAAAATTTATATTTCTCCAGGTAGCAAAAACAAAAACAAGAACACTAGAATTTCTTACACTCATATTTCCTAGATCTATTCACCAATCTGTCAAATGCATTATATTCTAGATAGATTATAATGCATGTATGAACAAATATAACGCATGCCTGGGTGTGAGTACTGCCAAATCTTGGTTATTCGTGGTCCTAAGAGTTGGGTAGGGAAAAAGTTGCTATGCATACATTAAATCCAGAGAGAATTAGAAGGTCTTTTTCATCAATACTTTTAGATTCATCCATTTTCATAACTTTAACCACAGATATGGACAAAATAGTATCAGCTGATTTTACTGTTACTGACTTTTCTTTCCTAGCCCACTATCTTTCAGAGTTAGGGGGAAATCTTAGCTGACTATTGGTTACATACAAGAATGGACAACAATTAACTTCATTTATTCTTTGGATTTGTTATTCATTCATTTGGCTACTGTCTTAACACAATTTATTGCAAAACACAGTGCTTAAGGTCATGGGGAACATAAGGATATACACCGCATTCCTGGAACTTACATTTCATGATAGGGAAAGAACGTGCATATAGGTAACTTGAGCATACGGTGGAAAACATTAAGCCTAATAGAGAAACAGAGAACACTGCTTTGGGAAATCAGAGGAAGTAGACAGTTCCATCAGGGAGATTCAGAGAAAACTTGTGGAGAACATGATGTTTTTGTGGAGTCCTGGGAGAGAATGGCAGTGTTTTGACATGAAGAGAAGGTGGCAATAGCATTTCCTAAGTAGATCTCAATGTGAGTATGGGAATGGTTAGAAAAGGTCAAGACATGAATGAGAAACAGTTAGGTAGAAGCATCAATGTCAGAAGAGGAAATCTGGGAGACAAACCTGGAAGCCAAAGTTGAAGCAGCTGTAGAATCTTTATTGCCAGAGTAAGGAATGTAGGCTTTAATAAGAAAGTAATAGGGAGTGATTGAAGCCCCCCTTTTTACTTTTTATTTTGAAATAAATGTTATGCTAAAGGAAGAGTTGCAAAGATTGTAAAGAGTTCCCAGAAAGTAGACCATATCATCTAAGTTTTCATGTTTTGATAAATACTGATTTATATAGTATTCTTACATTACACTCCTGTGATTATATCCTCTTTTTCATGCTTAGTGTGGCATGTCTTTTTTCCTTAATCAGAAATGCCAAAGATCTTTCTTATTTGTCTTTTCAAAGCAGCAGTTTATTTTGTTAACCAAGTTTGCCAGTGTCTGTCCTATTTCATTAGCTTCCCTAACGTTTCCCTAAAGCTCTGCATATGTTCAATCTAATTTTAAAAATAGATACTGTACATATACAGTATTGAAAAAAGTCCCTTGATCTACCTTTTAAGCAGAATGCTATCTCTACATCCCACATAACCACAGAGCTGTGCTTTTCTTGCTTATGATTCTGCTTGGAATATGGTGGACCATTTCAATTTGACAATGCTTTTTTTTAACTCAAAGAAAATTGCCTCTGTTATTTATTTCCTCCCCTCTATTTCCTTTGTCTCTTTCTAGAGCTGTTATTAAATTAATGTTTACCTACAGAAGTTATCTGCATGTCTCCTGTACTGTCTTCTTCCGTCGCTGTCTTTTTCTCTAAGTTCTAGAAGACTTTACTTAAATATTCCTTACTAATTTGGCTATGTCCTCTTCTCTATTTGCTCCTCTTTAATCCCTTATCCTTATTGTTCTAATTTGGCAATCATATTTAATTTTCTTGCTCCCTGCTTGCTCCCTTTTAATAGCTGTTTTAGAAATAAATATCCTCTCAACATTTTCTGAGGATATTAACGGTAATACTCTTATATTCTGTGCTGCTTGAATCATTTTGTTCTTTTGTTTGCTTGTCTTTGGTCTTTTCTCTTATGCATTTGTTTTTCCTCAAATGTTTGGTGATCTTAAGTTCATTGACATACATGGACAAATAAGTACAATAATTTAGGTGGTTGACAAAACCTTTCTCTATGCTTAAGAATGTCTGTTTCCCTAGTGGGTCTCCCCTGAATGAGAGGATTGCTGGGGTGCTTCATGTTGAGTGGGGTGTGTTGACTGGCAGACTTCACCTTAGGATGCTCGATAATGGACCTGCAGGCACACGTGGGTTGGAGAGCATCTTCCTCAATGGCTGCCTTTCTTTCCTCTTTGCTGCCTCTCATCCTTGTCTTTGGTGTCAAGGGTTACATCAGGCTCTGTTCTGAGGCTTCTGTACCCACATTCAAATCATCCTCATCAGTCACTTCACTTTCATTCACCAAAGGTAAAAACCCGCTGCTGACTACTGTTCAGAGTTGGGAAGTCAACACCTCACTGGCTGGATGGGTCGGAAGTTTTGAAAGCAGTTCTTTGATTTGCCTTACGATTACCCCAGGAATGCCTCCTGCTCTTTGCATTTGTTAATGTGATCCTGGAGTTTCTCTAGTTCTTCTTTACTTTCACAGTACATTTCTCCTATATATGTTTAGACTGTGGCATCTTTGCCCCTAATACTCTGATCCAGAAGTGGCTCAAAGTTCATCTCTTCCAATGGCACCCTTCCTTCTTGCCTAGCACTATTGTGAATTTACTTATTTTAAAACATGTCTTTGATATTTTAGGGAATTTCAGACTAGAAAAGAGTTTGAAGAATGTGCTAAGTCTAATCCATCTTGATTCAATCTTGGAACTTTTTTAAATATTTTATATTCAGGAGCGGTTCATCTTGTTGATTCTGGCCTATCTTTGCAGGCTATTTGAGAACTGAATATTCCGTGGCTTAGCCTTAGTTGTCCTTCCCAGCTTTAACTATGGCTTGGATGTCTGGAAGCCACTGATGTCAGTTTGACCAGAACTCCCCACTGGGCAATAGGCAAGGTTGTCCTATTTTCACAAGAAGTAATGACCACAAGAGTAGGAAGGAGCCCTCTAAATCCTTATTGAAGGACACTGTCTCTATTCCTAAGCCCCTATTTTACTCTAACAACTGTAATCTACTATAATCTAATTTGTATTTCATTTTCTCGATTGGCATTACTCTTTGGAAGGTTAATATAGATCTCACATTCATCTCAGTCAATGGAAACATCTCACTGGACATCTGCACTGTGGCTGACCCCTGTTGACTGCATCCTCAGTCTCAAGATGTCATGTCTCTTAGTTTCCATAAATTCCTTCTTCTGGTTCTGTGTCTCTTTCTGGACAATCTTTGGGCTTTGTAGAGAAATTTTTTCTCCTTTTATTTCCCGCCCCCCAAAAAAACCTGTTCCTAAGACCTGTTCCTTAATCATCTTCTCATACTACACTTCCTTACTTGGCAGCGGTCCTTGTAGCTGTGGCTTCAGCTTAGAAATGTAGAAGTTCAACCCACATCTCTTACTTGAGCTTCAGGTCCTACTTTTTTGGGGGGGAGGTGGAAGGGGAGAGGGCAATTGCTCTTCCCTGTTTCGCTTCTAGGTACTTCATACTGACTTCATCCTCACCTTTCATATACCCACTCCACCTTCTCCTGTGTTCCCCACCCTGTGGCCAAAGCCAGGGCTGACTACTGGAAAAGGTGAAGGTGAAGAGACTTCATTAGGCATGAAAATATCATCTAACGAAGTCCCTTCACCTTTACCTCCTGAACCTACTGTGTGTGCAGCTTGGCACTCATTACTGTCAGCCTCTTGGCCATTTAAATCATCTAAATCCAAACAAAGCATCTTCATGCTGTGACCTGAGACATCTTTCTGTACATTTGAATATATCACTCTTCTGCTCAGAAACCTTCAAGGGTTCTGATTTTATGTAGAATAAAACCTGTACTGCTTTGCAAAGTATGAAGATCTCTTAGGATTCGATGTGAGTGCCAACCTGTCTTCTCCCACCATTCCTTGCCACACACATTGACACTTATGCCTCCCTAGTTCTGAAAATGCTGTGGTTTCCTATGCTAAGAATGCCATTCCCTTTTCCCATTGGCCAAGACATTATCAACTGAATGCCTCAGTTCACATTTATATTCCCTGTGAATCCTTCTTTGGCTTCCCCTAGGCAGCATAGGTTTGCAGGTCTGTTTATTAAATTATACCCTTCCCTCACCCAATGAAGGATTTGAAACTGTGTATGACAGATACACTCGGTTACAGGATACAATAAATGAGTGAGTTAATATGTTTAAAGGGAGCATAAATGTAAAAATACAAAGAGTATCAGATATGAAGTTAGTCTTAAAAGTTATGTGACATTAAGTTCTGTAGACTTACACTACAAAAAAATAACCTGAAAATGTGCCTTTGGGCTTTTTAGTTGACAAACTAAGAGAGAAACTTGATTGCTTATGAGTTTGATGGTATCCATAAGCAAGAAACAAAACTTCTTTGCTAGTTAATGAAAACTGAGGAATACTTTACTCAATTAAAAGGATATTTATAAAGGAGATTGGCAAATTTAGAAGTTCCTTTTAGTTTGTCTTCATTCATAGATTATGGTACAACTTTGTTTACTACATCCAAGAAAACTTATAATGCTACCATTTTACAAAAAGATTTACTCTATTTTAACCCAATGAACTTGGCAAAGTTCATTGACAAATTAATGGCTACTTCTTACCTGAAAGTTGCCAAAACAGCTTCCCCCTGGGAGGGTCACGTAACTCACAAAGGGAGGGCCAGGAGCTGGCAGTGACTCATAGACCACCATGCCTTCACTTGGGAATGCGGCTCTCTGCTGCTGCTTGCTTTCCCAAAATTCCTGTAACATTGATACAACATTCACTAGAAAAGACAAGAAACACAGTCAGTTATTAAGGATGGATACACTCTGGTGCAAACCTAAAATTTTATTTATTTGCAAGCTGGATTCTGTAGCATGACAGTTCCAGTTTAAGCAGAGGTATGTGGGTAGCAGGAGTGCTTTCCGCTGTGAAAGAATGTGCTTTATTTAAATATATTTAAAGAATGTTAAAATATATAAATTAAACCTATGATTTACAAATGCAAATGTGTTTATTTCTTAATGAGTAAGACTCAAGAAGTGGTTTTGGTACCCTAATTAAAACAATATAACAGTATTTCAAATTTACTCTATAAATTAATTTTTAATATAAAAATTTTTAAATCTCATTCTGCTTTGAACATTTGTCTTAATAAACTTTATCCAGAGCTGTGATTATGGTCCTCTGTCTCATTTCTCATAGATTCTTAAGCCTGCAAAGATTTAAGAAAGAAAGTCAGAAACTCTTTTATTCTCCTTTCACCACAATCTGAATGAGAATGAAAGGCAATTGTGGAATAAGCAGGAGGCTGGAAAAATCCATGAGTGAAACTAATAACATGAAGACCTTGTTAAGAACAAGGTCTGTTCAAGTATTTCAGAAAACATAGTAATGGCTAGAGCCATATGTTTTAGATTAAATGACCTGTGATAGCCTGCAGAAGTTCCAGATCGAATTAGTTGGTTTGTTTATCCTGTACTGCCAATTAAATTGCAAAAATTAACAAGGATAATAGAATTGTAGAGTCAAAAGTGACCTTATAGGTCATGTAGGCAAAGCTCTGCCTAATGCAGGAATTCCTTGCCTGCATTGCTGACAACTGCCCATCTGGCCTGTACCTGGACATGTGGAAGGACCTAGTACTTGCCACATCCTGAGGTAGCCTGTCTCAACCGCGGATGGTTCTGCGAAAAGGTCCTTTTTGAAGTGAACTGAAATCTGTTTTCCTGAAAGGTTCATGCAGAGGGTCTACTTCTCATTTCTGAGGCCTCAAAGTTTCTTTCATTATCCACAGAAGAGCCCACCACTGTTTGAAAGCAGTATAGGACATCTGGAGGTTTGCTTGCCTGGCATTCACTTCCCTTCTTGTGGAAATAGCACCCAAGTTTTCCTCAAAGAATTGTAGTCTCTAAGGGTGCAAGGAAAACCTCGGTGCTAGTTCTTGTGGAAATATTTCTTGTGGAAATAGCACTGAGGTTTTCCTTGAAGAATTGTAGTCTCTAGCGGTGAAGGTGGAAATCTGGCCATGGCCAAACCATTTAGAGACAATGAGTATGTTGAAAATGTTGGAAGTTTCCTTTTTTCAGTAGGATTTCTGGAGCAGTAGGAGGTAAGCATGGCAAAGCTCGAGCAAGAAGAAAATTTGACTGAGAAGCAAGTCAGCCCAGAGAAGGGTTGAGTACAGAGATGGAGATAGGCTAAGTTCTGATGACATAGTTTGAGCTCCTGGTTCCAGATATGCCCATAATCCAGGATCCTTGATTGGGCTTTAAGTTATCTAAACCAACCCATCTACTTTTTCCTTAAGCCATTTTAAATGGCATCTCTCACTTGCATATGAAAAGTGCACTAAACAACTTGTTTTCTCAAGTTCTAGATTAAATAGTTTTTGTTCTTTCAAACATGCTTTGTGTAACATGGCATCTATGCCTTTTGCCATTATCCTTAATATATTCTTGGATCTGTTTTCAATTTCTGGACATTGACATTTTTCAGAGAGTCTGGAGTGTCACAGACTTTGACCTGGAAGCAAAATCATTGTATAGCCACTTTCTAAGCTGTTTACCAGAGCACTGGGTTTCTGCTTCATGGTGTATCATTCAGGCAAATTCTGGCAACTCCTGAGGAACTGGTTGCCTGGGTGTATTTAGAAACTGCATTGTGTAGTATTTTAAGAAGTGATTTGGGAAAGAAATTGAGAAAATGTTAGAGTAGTAGGGGATACTTGAATTAATCAATAAAATACATATTGAATGGTCAAGTTGAGAACTGGTCATTACAGAGCTTTTTAATGTATTTGCAAATATTTGAAATAACATTTTCTACCAGTTGATGTAACTCAAAATAGAATTAGAACTCTTATTTTCTAAACTAGTTTTCTGTCCCTCACTCTCCTGCTTTTCTTCCCACCCCTGAGGAAACAAATATCTATGAGCTAGCTGACCTGAGGCTCTACTTGCATTTGACCTCCAGAATTCAGCAGGGCTGTCCTGAAGACTGAAGACTGAAACTAATGACAGCAGCCTGCTGCTCTTCTTGTCAACGTGGACTATTAGCCTCTTACTTTGTCAGTTCGTTGTTGAAGGGTGTTTAGCTGAGAACTGGAATAGGAAGTTGAGGACCCTTGATGATCTAGGTAAAATGCATGATAATCTACGGAAAACGAACACAAGAATTTTGGCATATAAAGCTCTTGGGATTAAAGAGTTTGAAGGTATGCACTAAGTCAGATTTCTGGGTGAATAAAAGTTGAAGTTTTCAAATTTTTCATTCTGTAATTTTGGAAGATTTCTCTGATGATCTCACAGATGTCGTCACCCCTAAAGAGTGCGGCACATATAACAGACACACCATCCATTTTTCTATCTCTATCCTTGTCGACTTGAAAACCAGACAAATGAAGTGCAGAGGGAAGATGGCCAGCTTGCCGTTTGGAATTCCAAAGATATACCAAAGATTGATATATCAGAAAATGCTTTATTTATGAAACACATGCTCCTTTATTTTTGGGGAATAACATCAACAAGGTTTGTGGACAATTTCAAAGAAAAAATGATCAGAGGGTCAAGAGCTGTTGAAGAAAGTCACCTCAGTTTGAGAATAGGTGTCAATCAATACATAGTTAACCTCTAGGTGCAGCTGCACCTTCAGTGCCCAGCCAATGATCTTGCCTTCCAGGTTACGGAATAAACTTGAGCTACCAAGTGTGCAATATCCATCTTTATGTCTAGGGACTCATCCACACAAATGCCCAGCTCCACCTTATTTCCTACAGTCTCAAATGAATTTGTGCTGTTTTTCCTGGAAATTGTTCTCTTAGTCACTCTTATGGCCTATTTTCAAAAGTTTCCTCCTTATTCATTCTTTCCCGGCAGCCAAAAGTGTGCTCAAAACAACAAATAGATGAACAAATGAATGAATTAATCAATTAAATGAAACACTCAACCTTGGAATTATTTCTGGCTTCTAGTTATTAAAATGCTTCCAATATAGCCAAACTGCTAGAAAGAATATTCCACATTGACCATCGCTGCTTCCTTATGTTTCATTTATTTTTAACCCACCACAATTAACATATATTATTCCACTGAAACTCCTACAAATAGTACTAATTCCTGGTTTTTAGTCCTTATTTACTTGACTTCTTAGCTGTATTTAACAAAGCTGATCACTTTCTTCTAGAAACCTCATCTTCCTGAGCTTTTCCTCCTCAGTCTGCGTCTCTTCCTGATCATTTCTCCTTGGTTAAGGATTTCTCTTCCTCTGCTCACTCCTCATGTTGGCTGCTTGGAAATCTTGTCTCCTTTTGCTTCTCTTCCAGCTTGATGTTCTTGATGACAGAACCTATCTCCATGACTCTATCTACCATAATACACACAGACAGCTCCCAAACTATTATCCTGCATCTCCAATTTTATTATAAGACACTGCTATTTGGAGGTTGCAAAATCTCAACATATTTTCAAACTCAACTCATTTCTTTTTCATAAACTCTTTTCTTCCTCCTGAATTACCTTTCTCCTGAGTTACAAAAAAAAAGCGATGTTATCTACCTAGTTACCTAAATCAAAAACTTGGCGTAAACTTTAAACTTCATTTCCTCTTTCAATATCTAATAAAAGCCCCAGTTTTGTTAGTCTCCCATCAGCATCACTTTCTTTCAGTCTATACTGCCATTACTGAATTGGTTTGTGCTTTCTGTATCTCATTCTCATTAAGCATACCGCATACCCTCCTGACTCCAACCAGCCTCCCATCCAACCTATACTTCCACTGTTTTCAGGGTAATATCACTGAATCTCATCTTCAAATCCTTCTGTGGGTCCATTATTAACTGTGGAATAAATAATGCCTTGGCAAGGCATAGAAGACCCTATGTCTCACTATTCTCTCTTGTCCTAAACTCCTCTCCCCAGTTCACCCTTTAGTTTCCTCACACCCTATGCTTCTCATGTTACTCAAAAGCCAGTACTTCCATTCATTCTCCTGGAATGCCCTTCTTTCTACTGTCTGTTGTCTTCTTGAATAGCGCCTACTCATTTTTCAAGACTAAGCCCTTGCTAATGAAAGTGCACCCTCTACCCCCAAGAAACATCGTGAATAGCACTTGGGAACTTGCTAAAAATACAGGATCTCAGGCTCTACCCTAGGCCTTCTGAACTCTAATCTACTTCTTAACAAGATTTTCAAAAAACCTGATGCATGTTAAAACTTGAGAAGCCTTGCTGTAGGAAGAAGCGACCATTCCTATCCTCTTCCTTATGTACCTATTATATGCATTTTCCCATTTCATCCTTACAGCACCCCCTTGAAATAGGTATTATCATGTACAACCTACAAAGGAAAAGAAAAGGAAGTTGAAGGTTTAATCACACAGCTACCAAGTCTTGGACCTATGATTTTTAACCTAGTTTTGCCTCTATAGTCCATGTTCTTGGTTTATCCTGAGATACTCCATAATGTAATAAAACTTATTTTCATGCCGTCTATCTCTAATATAGACAATGCTCATTGGAGAAAGAATTATATCGTTTTCCCCAAAATGCCTGGAACATAGTAGGAATTTAATAAATGTCAGTGAAGTATTTGAATGTTATCAAAAGTATAGAAGATGGGCTGCAGTTGTGAGGCTGTGGGTAATGTAGGCATGGGCACCTTTCCCATGAATTACTTCATTTACCTTTTTCCATGGGCCATTTTTCTGACAGTTGTTCTTGACAAAGTCAAATGAAGGAAAAGGCCTTATTTGTCCTTTTTCAAACAAGTCATATGACATGTTTC